TTGATGAACTTCTCTAGAAATAGCTGTGAGAACTAATCCCAGGTAAGTGCACGCGACCCAGCTGGTCTAGTCAGCATATAATCTCTCCACCATCTTCGGGCGTAACCAGTCAGCTGAAATGTTGCAAAATTAACCCCATTGGTATCAACTATACCCATGTTCCGTAGCACCTCGTGGTAATGGTCTAGAAAATCCTGTGGGGCCTCAGAAGATGCACCACTGAAATGAACAGGAAAAAGTTTGGTGAACTTATCCAACCTCAACATAGCCTCAGAAGATAAAGAGGGCCTATCACCGGCCTGTGCCGCAACAACCAACTGAACTACCCCAACTGGCGGGGCTGCAGGAGTCTGAAACTGGGGAGCCACCTGCTTCGGAGTGTGAGTAGCGGGAGTCTGTGCTCCTCCCCCAGCCCGAGAGATGGCTGGTGCCACCGGAAATGTACCGGTCTGGGCCACACTCTCCATAAGGCCCACTAAACGGACTAGAGCGCCCTGAAGCACTAGGGTGGCTATGAACCCCTCCGGGACCTGAACTGGTCCAACATGTACAGTCTAGGCTAGAACCTCCTCATCAAAATCTACCTGAGGCTCCACTGCTGGTGCTGCTGTTAGAGCTCTAGGCTGAGATATGCCTCTGTCTCTGCCACGACCTCGGCCTCGACCTCTGCCCCTAGTCGTGGCTGCCACAGGGGGCTCCGGCTCCTGTCCGGCGATAGATGTAGTGCGTGTTCTCATCATTTGTGAGAGAACAAGAATAGAAGGGTTCAATCATCATTGAGAGAATAAAATTGCACCATAGAGTAAGAAAGAAGTGACATTTTTTCCCTAAACTCCATAGCCTCTGAAAGTTAAGTACAAACGTCTCCGTATCGATCCTCCAGAATCTACTAAGCCTGCTCGTGACTCGTGAGACCTAGGCAACATAGTTCTCTAATACCAACTTGTCACGACCCGAAAATACCACCCTCAGGACCATGATGGCGCCTAACATTTCACTTGCTAGGCAAGCCAACGTTAGAATAGCTTATCCATTTTTAACAATTCAAATTAAATAATAATAAAGAAATCGAAATAACTGAAATAAATTCTGAAGTAAAGTGCGGAAAACCATACATCTGAAATATCTAATACAGCCAGAATCTGCTATCACAAATGCACGAGCTACTAGAAGTTCTACAAATAGAGTCTGAAGTAAATACAACTATTTCGAACGAAATGAACAGTAAAAGATGAAATAGGAAGGGGACTTCAAGGTCTGCTAATGTCAGCAGATATACCTCAAGTCTCTGAATGATAATCCGAGCTAGTTTACCTCACGTACATATGGGACCAGTACCAAAATCTGCACAAGAAGTGCAGAGTGTAGTATGAGTACAACCGACACAATGTACTCCGTAAGTATCGAGCATAACCTCGATGAGGTAGTGACGAGGCTGTGACAGGACACTCACATAGTTAAACGTGTATAAATATGTGCAGTTGGGAGGGGACATGCAACAACATAATATATGACAGGACAACAACATAATATAGATTTAATATGTACAATTGGGAGGGGACATGCAAAAGAGGAAAAAGATATGATAACTAAAGCAGGAAAGACAACACGGATAGCCAAATAAATCATCAACCAACGAGGATGAACATCATACGATATGATAATGGCACGACATCACCCTTCGTGCTTTTACTCTCATCCTTACCATGAAATGATGTCACAAGAGAAATAAAATGACACGACATCACCCTTTATACTTTTACTCTCGTTCTCACCATGTAACAGTGAATTAACTGATATAGATTGGCACGACATCACCCTTCATGCTTTAATTATCTTCATCACAATGTATTAATCAGTAAATAAAGAAATGAAATGGCACGACATCACCCTTCGTGCTTTAACACTCTATCTTACCATATCGTAATGAATACACAAATTCGGGAGATAAATAATGCAAGGGATGTACCTTACGCCAATAATGATTCCAAGATACCAAACCTCAACTTCCAAAATACTCAACCATCTCAATTAATCCATAAATACAGAAGGATCGATCAAATAAGTAATAATCTACTTTAAGCATGTGTGTCATAATTAAAGAGGCAATAAATCACAAGAAAACAAGTTCTACCCTCATGCTTTAACCCCAAAACAACGCATAAGTACTCGTCACCTTACATATACGTTATGCCCACACATTAAACACGTAGCAAATAGGCAAACAAGTCCTAATCTCTCAAGTTGAGGTTAACCACGACACTTATCTCGTTCCGCATTCAATTCAAAGTTCAACTACGGCCTTGCCTTTCAAACAAGCATCCGAATCAACAAAATCTAGAAAATTATCAACCAAACGATTCAAAATAAGCCTTAGAAACTACCCACGAATGAAAGAGGTTCAATTTAGACCATTATTGAAAAAGTCAACAAAAGTCAACCCCTGGGGCCGCTTCGTCAAAACTCGAGGTTCGGACCAAAATCCGATCACCCATTCACCCCCGAGCCCGGTTATGTAATTCAATTTGAAATTTGACCTCAATTCGAGGTCTAAATTCCAATTTTACAAAAATCCCTAATTCTACCCAAACCCCCAATTTCTACCATGAAAATCCTAGATTTTAAGGTTGAAATCTTATATAATATAATGGGTAATTAAAAGAAAGTAGATTAGAGTCACTTACCAATGAATTGAAGAAGAAAAGCTCTTGCAAAAATCGCTTCTAGGGTGTTTAGGGTTGAGAATTTGAGAGAATGAGCTAAAATCCCGTTTTTCTTAGCTTTTGTCGAGGCGCAGATGTCGCAATTGCGATCTGGGGTTCGCATTTACGAACCCCGCAAATGCGAGAATAGCTTCACAAATGCGAAGAAGCCAACATCTCTGCTATCATCGCATTTGCGATGATTTGTTCGCAAATGTGAACTCTGGGACTCCGCAAATGCGACCTTCTGATCGCAAATGCGATCTTATGCTGACCCAGCCCCTCTTCGCCAATGCGAAGGAATAGTTCGCAAATGCGAACCTGACAGGAAGTTGAATATTCACAAATGCGAACACTGACCTCACAATTGCGAGATCAGAGACTTGTACGAGAATCAGATGCACGAGCTATTTTCCTAAGTCCAAAACCACTTTGAAGCCTATCTGAAACTCACCCGAGCCCTCGGGGCTCCAAACCAAACATGCACACAAGTCCAAAAGTATCATACGAACTCACTCGCATGATTAAAACACTAAAACAATACCTAGAACTACGAATCAGATATCAAAACGAATGAAATTTTCAATGAAACTTAAGAACTTTCAATATTTCAGTCGGATGTCCGAATTACGTCAAATAAACTCCGTTTTGTACCAAATTTTGCAGACAAGTCATAAGTACAATAATGAACCTATACCAAGTTCCGAAACTAAAATCCGGACCCGGTAACAATAAAGTCACACTTCGGTCAAACTTATTAATTCTTTAAACCTTTTAAGCTTCCAGTTTTTAATAAATTATGATAATTCGAGCTAGAGACTTTCGAATTCGATTCTGGGCACGCCCAAGTCCCAAATAACGACACAGACCCACCGGGACTGTCAAAACACTGATCCAGGTCCTTTTGCTTAAAACATTGACCGAAGTCAACTCAAGTGAGTTTTAAAGCATGATTTCACATTTTCGTATAAAAACCTTCCGGAAAGGACACGGACCGCGTGCGCAAATCGAGGAAGGCTAAACGGAGCTAATCGAAGTTTTAAAACACAGAATTTAAGGTTAAAACTGTCACTGGGTCATCACAATTAAACGAAATAATAATTAGGAAAAATGACATTGTATAGCCGCTCTCAAAATAATAGCAGAAAAATGTATATTTTTTTGTATATATATACATTTTGAATATTATATATAAAAATTATACAAATTTTGTATACTTTTTCGGCTATCGAATATAAATAGTTACTAACGCAGACTAAAAGTAATAATACCCCAAATAAATAAAGAACTCGTGATTCCGATGTCTAACTACTAATCACGTGGCCGACTTATACTCATGTATCGCCTTGCAGAATTTTCTTCTGTTAGTCAAACAAAATAATATAAACGCATTAATTAAAGGCGAATTCAGAATTTAAAATTTATAAATTATTATATGTATCTAAGAAACTTCCATATGAAAAGTAAGGAGAGCAGTTTAATGTGCAGCGTTAAATGTGAATTGCATGGCAATTTCTGAATAGTAGTATCCTTGTCAAACTGAACCAAGAATATTAAAATGACACATGAACAATAACAAAACAAAAGCATTGGTCAAGATGCAAAGAAAGGCCAATTTTTAGCCACCAGAAATGGGTCCATTTTGAATTTTCCTAACTCTAAACTTCCACTAGTGAGTAAGATGGTTTAACAAGGAACAGTGACATTAACCATTGCGATCACCAAAGGTCGGAGTGGATGGATAATATGCATTCACCTTTTAATCATTTTAGATTTGAGCTTTGAGAATGAAAAAAATTCCGATAAGAAGCGCTTTCTTCCTTTAATAGATCTTACGTGGTGTGAATCCAAATTAATGTGGATTCGATGGGATACCGGATATCAAGTGTGAACCAAAAAAGAAAAATAACTCTTGCGAGGTATATCAAAAGTGTAGTGGGATGAATGAAATCTTTTTACATTTAACTAGCATCAACTCAAGCAAAAAATTGAGAAACTCTCAACAGAAAGCATTTTTTTTGCTATAGTAGACTCATGATTAGTATAGTGGGATAAATGAATTTTTTAACCTTTAATCAGCATCAATTCGAGCATAGAATTAAAAAACTCTTAATAGAAAGCATTTTTGCACCAATTTAAATTAATCAAATCAATAATTTCGAATTTGGGATGCAATATTAAAAGAATAAAAAAGGAAACCTCTCATGGGGTAGACTAAGGGAGTTATGTGAGACTTCGACTTGAAATGTCGGCCAGACCAAAATAAGATACCACTATACAATTATTCACTCTCGTCACAGCATTACATGATTTCTTTCCCTATAAATACCCTATAAAAGACTCATTCTTTTGCATAAATAATCACATTCATCTTCTATCTATTATTCACACACTATACGCTCAAAAACACAGTCTTTATTCTACAAGAAAGATGGAGAACTTCCCAATTATCAACTTGGAAAAACTGAATGGTTCTGAAAAAGCTGCTACCATGGAAATGATTAAGGATGCTTGTGAAAACTGGGGCTTCTTTGAGGTAATTTCCTTCATAAAAATATCCACTTATGTATTCACAAAACGCATTGCTAGGATTTGAAATTTATAGGTTGCCATAAAACCCATAACTCGTTTTAGTTACTTGATTCGCAATTAAATATTATTCATATTTAATAAATTTTCTAATACAATATAGATTCTATGCAATAGCTACTAGGTTCGTGAACTCGCATCTAATATTGTAGCGCCGCCCCTATATCCTAGGATATCAATATAAACTTCTTATGAAAATCTTGGAAATGTTATGTAAATAAATTTGTTTCTTTAATTTGTAGTTGGTGAACCATGGAATCCCCCATGAAGTAATGGACACTGTAGAGAAATTAACAAAGGGGCATTACAAGAAATGCATGGAACAGAGGTTTAAGGAATTGGTGGCCAGCAAAGGTCTTGAAGGCGTACAAGCTGAGGTTACTGATATGGATTGGGAAAGCACTTTCTTCTTGCGCCATCTTCCTGTTTCTAACATTTCTGAAGTCCCTGATCTTGATGATCAATACAGGTAATCCATACTGCTGTACTTCGTGCTAGGTGATTTCTTTTTATCTATCTAAATATTAGCGCAAGAGTTGGCTGAGTTGGTCAGGGGTGTAGGGGCGGCAAAATGGTTAAAAGAAAACAGTTAACCACCCATATTATCCATTAAAAAATGAGTTGGATAATGAACTTTTTAAAAATAGGTCAAATATGGATAAGAATCATATTATCCATTTAGAAAATGGATAACCAATGGATAACTAATGTGTTTAATTTTTACATTTGTAATACCTTAAATTGGAGGTTCCTCAAGTTTGGCAGACTAGAAATTCTCTCAAAAGTGATCATATCCATGAAACCATAACCATATTATCCGCCGGTTAAATCGTTTTTTATCCATATTAAATATGGGTTGGGTCGGATAATTTATCCGTTTTTTATTATCCGTTTTCAATATGTCCCATAACCGACTCGACCTTCCCGTTTGCCACCCCTAGTCAGGTGAGTGATTTTCCACATGGGAGACGTGGGATTGATTCTCCTCACCAACAGCCTCCTCAGTCAGAGTTCGTCGCACCTGACTTCCCTAGTGCGGTTTATATCTTCTGTATGGTTTGCGAACTATTGTACAGTGAACAGGAATTATCCAATGCGCAACCGAATGATAGCGGCTACGTGTTTCCCTGAGAATTTAAAAAAAAAAAAGAGTTACCCGATACATGTGCTGGTTGATAACAAGTATCACATGGACTAGTCGAGATGTGTGCAGATTCGGATATATATATATATATGTATATTATATATACTGTTATTAGAAGAAAAAACAAGAACTTCTAAACCTCAAGGATAATGAAGTATTATTTTAACATAAATTTTTTGGTTATTGGTTGTTATTATTATAATTATTATTATAATAAAGTAACATGATATAAGTCAGTGTCCAACTTTGCCAGCCTAAATTGTCCAAGATTCCAAATTGGATACAGAAGAAGGACAAGGATTTACTATAACTGAACATGCTGCACCTGCTACCCCTTATTTTATTCTATTTTGTTTTCTTTTGTGTGTATGTGGGGAAATGAGGGGTTGCATATGTACTTCAAAGATAAGTTTCTTCTTTAAAAAAATAACATATTGTTAATCCAAAGTTGTTCATATAATGCAGGGAGGTTATGAGAGATTTTGCTAAAAGATTAGAGAATCTAGCAGAGGAGCTGTTGTATTTGCTCTGTGAAAATCTTGGTCTAGAAAAGGGATACTTGAAAAATGTATTTTATGGATCTAAAGGTCCAAACTTTGGAACTAAAGTGAGCAATTATCCACCATGCCCAAAACCAGATTTGATTAAGGGACTGCGCGCCCATACGGACGCTGGTGGCATAATCCTTCTCTTCCAAGATGACAAAGTAAGCGGCCTACAACTCCTCAAAGACGGCCAATGGATCGATGTTCCTCCTATGCGCCACTCCATCGTCGTTAACCTTGGCGATCAACTTGAGGTAATCATCCAAAAATGTCTTAGTTAGGAGTTTGAATGAAGAGTTTGATGAGTCTGATGTAGTAGATGCACGTGCACCAATTGATTATATGTTGGATCGAGCTAGGTGTCTATAATGTCTTATTGGCGAGGCGTCTAGTGTTTTTTCCCTTAAATTTTCTATATACATATACAAAGTTTGAGTCTTATGCAATAGGTGCACGTGCAACAGGTCCACGTGCACCAACTGCTTATATGTTGACTCGAGCAACGTGTATACTTTTCTCACTATAGATTGGAGTATATACCAAGTGTTCTAATGAAAAATGTGAAAACAGGTGATCACAAATGGGAAGTACAAGAGTGTGATGCACAGAGTGGTAGCGCAAAAAGACGGGACTCGGATGTCATTAGCTTCTTTCTATAATCCAGGAAGTGATGCAGTGATTTATCCAGCACCAGCTCTTGTTGAGAAAGAGGCAGCGGAGAGCAAACAAGTTTATCCCAAATTTGTGTTTGATGATTACATGAAGTTATACGCCGGACTAAAGTTTCAGGCCAAGGAGCCAAGGTTTGAAGCCATGAAATCTATTGAATCTGATGTCAAGATGGATCCAATTGTAACTGCATAGATCCAAATTCAAGACTACTAAAGATGAAAATTGAAAGAAAATGATTTGTTATTGAAGTAGTACAAGACGAGTGACATACATTATTTGCTTGTTTTGGTATAGTGGAATTAATATATTTACAAAAGTGTGTGTCCCTACTACATATGTAGTCAAGAGGCTTAAAGTTTGTATCTTATAATAAACTGATAAAGTTTCCTTATACAGATTTTAATGTACCAAAAATTACCTGTGTTACTTCTTTTCTCATTGGATTTTGCCGTCATTATGCTTGAAATTTGAGTTTGCAGAAAAGTGAAGGTAAAATAGCCATTTGCAATCACAAAAAGCAGTAGTAATTTTGACGTTAAATTATATTTGAGCCATAATTCCAATGAGTTAGTAGTTTAGACTTCGTAATTGAAGCATAGAAATCCGCCAGTAGTAATTAGCAAGTACTAATTACCTTCTATCGAAAAAATTAAATGATTTCTCAAAAGGGAAGAGTCCTCATTAATAAAAAAATACTACTCCTTCCGTTTCAATTTATGTGAATCCATTTGACTGAACACGGAGTTTAAGAAAAGAGAGAAGACTTTTGAACTTGTGGTGTAAAATAAGGCACATATATTTTGTGTGACTATAAATCATTGCATAAAGATAAATTATTTCCAAATAAGGAAAGATGTCATTCTTTTTGGCACGGACTAAAAAGAAAATATATTCACATAAATTAAAACGGAGGGACTATTCTTTTACATTTTACAAAGAGAATTATCTTAGTGGGCTAATAAAAGGGTTGGGTTTGTGCACACAATATATAATGAGCCAAAATGCAAAAGTTGCCGATTTGCTCCATACATTTTGGCACGACTGGTGCACTATTAAAAAGAGGTGGATCCAGAATATAAATTTTACGGGTTCAACCTTTAGTTTTTACGATTGGGTACCCGTTGCACTTTTGAAAATATAAGTTTAATTTTTTTTAAATAATAATTTTCTTATATCTATATTTATTTTCGATGTTGAAAATATTGAGATTGAACCCATTGACTATATACTATATCATACACTGCTACTAGTTTTAATATACACATTTTGTTTAATCATATAAGATTTTACAGCGACAAAAGAAGAATAGGAATTTTAATGTGTGAAAATTTTGAGAGAATAAATCAAACAAAATAAGAAATAAAAAGAAAAAGTACTTAATTAATACGCAAAAAATAACACCAGACACGCCCATCTCCCGTGGGCCTCTACTTTTAGAAAAAAAAAAGGAAAAAACAACAAGATTGGCATAAGATTTAAACTAAGGGTGGCATGTGGGCCGGGTCCGGTCCTAAGTGGGCTTTGTGGCCCGGTCCTAAGTGATCCCGGGCTTTGCGGATTTCTTGTTGGAACCGGTCCGGGACCACGAACTAACGGTCCCGGGTTAAGTGGGCCGGTCCCGGGCCCAAGTGGGCCCAACAAATACTTTTTATTTTTTTTAAAATTTTATAGAAGTTAGAGAAAAAAAATGGTAATAAAAATATCTAAGTCAATTCCTTATAAATTATATTATAGAATTGTGACCTAAAATTTTTAATTCAAATTTAGAGACAAAAATATTGTAAAGAGATATTCAAAGTAATGCGTTATAATATATATATATATATNGGTCTCGCGGGCCTCGCCTATGGGACCGACCCACTACCCAGCCCACCTCCCTACGGTCCCGGTCCTATCCGGTTAGGACTGTTTAGGCCCACCGCCCATATGGGCTTGCGGTCCTGGGCCGGGCCCGGTCCTAACCGGCCCACATGTCACCCTTAATTTGAACTCACAACCTCACCTAGAGAGGTACACTCAATAATCATCATATCATATAATACTTTGAGCATGGGTGCACACACATATATTTAAATATTTTTTTAAAAATATAACTTTACTATACATGATATTTAGGGCGGGGAGCATGGGTTCACGTGTCCCATGGACCCCCCTAGATATGCCCCTGGCTCCCTACACAAAAAAATTGCAGAAGTATGATATTTTTTGGAACGGTCTTTAACTTCTGACTTCCTCCCGTAAAATTTCAATATCAAAAGTTAAAAGTATTGTCCATGGGCCAAGTGAGAGGCAACACTTCTTAAACTTGGAGTTCAAGATCATCCGCTTTGACAGCTATTTGTGTTCTTTACCCCTTACACATGAGATATTGGCTGGTCGCAGTTATTTAAATTTTATCTCCAGTTTAGACATTAATTTGTGTGGAACTGACCTATTAAAATTAATAAAATAAATTTGGAAAAAAATTCCCTCTAACGTAAAATAGCCAAATTCAAACGACGATTACTGTGAGTTACGATGATCTGATTGCTATTTTATTATTCCAACAATATGTTGAGCTTACACATAAAGCCACTTATATTTTTATTTCAAACTAGCATTAGATAGTTTTTGATTCTCTCTACGTAGAACATAAAATTTATGTTGCTCCAGCAATAACCCAAGCCAAAATAATTTATTGAAATGGCACCGTTAACATATTAACATTAATAAAATAGTGCCTGGTAAATTAATTATACATTAAAATATTTACCTATTCAAGTTTTATTTTTAGATTGCCTACCTGGGCTTGATAAATTTAAGTAAGCACATTAAGACATTTTCATATTTGAGTTGAATCTTAGATTTATTTTGTTAAGGCAAGTCAAGAATTTGACTTTGCTTTTTATATAGAAAATTTGAAAGATCTTGGTATGTAGTTGGTGTTCCGTCAAACTTTATCCATATTTGCTGATACCAATTTGGTAAATTTCATAAGTACGTTAGAGTATTTACCTATTTATACTTAAAATTTTAGATTTTTCATTGATGTGGCATTAAATTGGTTGCATTTGCTACTATAATTTTCACAATAATAAAAAAATCAACCAAATTGCATACTTGGGTAGAGATTCAATTACCATAATGATAAAATCCTTTATGTATATAACGCGATATTGCACTTCTTCTAAGTGCATTCTGATAAAGGTTTTTTTTTCCTATCAGTTCTTCTAATAAGTTTAGTCATGGTTAATAAGAAGACTAAAGGGCGTCAAAAGATTCAAATGAAAAAAATAGAAAAAAAAGATGACCTCTTTGCCACATTCTCAAAGCGGCGCGCAGGCTTATACAAAAAGGCGAGCGAACTTATTGCAGAATGCGGTGTTGACATTGGAATAGTGGTTTCTTCTCCTACCGGTAAGCCTTTCTCATTTTTTCACCCTACAGAAGATGCCATTATTGCTCGTTTTCAGAATCCTGATATGCAGTTAAGTCAAACTACTGGCCTAGTTGCGGCTCATGCTCGAAACAAAGTGAACTATCTCAATAGTAGGCTTGAAGAATTGGATACAAGAGAAGACGCTGCAACTGCTCAAACACGTTTCTATGACAAAATGACAGAAACTAGAGAGAGTGGTTGGTGGGAGTCAATTGAGCAGCTCAATGTAGATGAAGTGACAAAATTTGAAACATGGTTAAAGACTGTTGTTTTTAATATGAACAATCGTTTGAATCAGTTGGAAATTGGAGCTTCATCCTCAACACCAAATTACTTCTAAAGATGCCGATAATGCTCCTAGTACTTCACAAATTAATCACCCTAAGTTAATGACTTATATGGCAATATTTGTGATCAAAACTAGAAAATTCAAATTCATGTTATCCAGATTGTTCTTTTATTTTATTTAAACAATGCTACAAGCATGTATTCTGCTACAATTTTCATTAATAATATTCGATATAGTTTTTAAATGCTTTATCTTATATGTGTATTAGCTAGTAGGTCTCTTAATAATAAATTTAACATCTTTAAAACATTGATGAAAAAATTACAAAGTTCAAATTTAGTGTTTGTTGAACTTTTGTTCTTTATTTTATTTCAGCGATGTTACAACCCTCTACTCTGCTCTGATTTTCATTAATTAACACTTGTATTAGTACCCGCGCGATACGCAGACACAAACCATGTCAAATTAAGATGTGGGTTGTTTGAATCATGTGCAAATAACCTTAAAATATAAACCTCTCATATAAAAATTATATAATCATTAGATATTAATTAAGAAGTAAGATATGAAATTATTGTTCAAATCTCGTAGTGGACAACCTATTTTTTATTTCATTTGTAGCAACCTAACCCCTTGACTTTAGTACTTGCATTTCATTTCACTATCAATATTATAGAATACTAAACATGTCATGTTGTGATCTGTCTTGTTGTAACGATCTGACCGGTCGTCTTGAACTCTAATGCGTCGTTCGGCGGTTTGAGGCCTCGAGTAGCTTCACTTCATGTTTCATGACTTATACGTGTGATCGGAATCGAATTTCAGGAAGTTCGGGATTGATTTGGAAAGAAAAATCTAATTTCAAGAGCTTTAAGTTGGAAGAATTGACTAAGGTTTGTTTGACTTTTGAGTAAACGACCTCGGAATCGGGATTTGAAGGTTCCAATAGGTTCGATGATAATTTCGGACTTGGGTGTGTGTTCGGATTGAGTATCAAATCACCCGGGAGCATTTCGGTACTTATTATAGAAGGTTGGTATTTTGAAGGTTTAAGAATTTCTTAAGTTTGGTTTGAAGTGGATTTTGATGTTATCGATGTCCGTTTGGGGTTCCAAGCCTTGGAATAGCTATGTCATTTATGACTCGTGTGTGAAATTTAAAGTCATTCCGGACTGATTTGATACGTTTCGGCACAAGATATTGAATTTGGAAATTTATAAGTTTGATTCGAGGCGTGATTCATGATTTTGATGTTGTTTGACGTGGTTTAAGGCTTCGACTAAGTTCGTATTGTATTTTGGGACGTGTTGGTATATTTGATCGGGGTTACGGGGGCCTCAGGTGCGAATTGGATTGTAAACGGATTGAGTTTGGACTTGGGAGAAGTGCTGAGACAGCTGGGATCTTGTGCAATCGCACAACGTGGAAAGGGCCGCAGGTGCGAGACCGCAGAAGCGGCCTAGGGGTCGTAGAAGCGGAGAAAAGCCTCAAATCGTCATTTTCTATGATTTTTATATTTATATAATTTTTTCATTTTGTAAAATTTTAGGGAAAACATGTTGGGAAATAATCCTTTGCTTAGAAATGAATACCTGTGCTCTAATATTTAACAAATTTTGCTGAAACAAATTGTACAAAGACCCCTTTGTTTTCTCTAACGAAAAAAGAAGAATAATAATTATCGATACACTTCAGAATTTTTTTTGTTACGACCCAAAATCCAACTAGTCGTGATGACACCTAATCCAACCCGCTAGGTAAGCCAATTAGAAACAATCCAATTTAAAAGAGATTTACTGAGAGAAATAAAGATAATATAACTGAAATCTTATACAAGAAATTTTCCAAGACTGGTAGTACAAATCATGAGCTTCAAAGATTTAGAATTTACAAAGCTGGTATGAAATAAAGTACATCATCTATTTGAATATACATGAAGAGATTAAAATTCTAAAGCTACCAAGATCAAGAAGTATTTATGACCGGAACGCAGGTACATCTTCAAATCCAGTCCCCGCCGTACATAGCAACATCAACATCCAACATCTGCACGCAAGGTGCAAAATTATAGTATGAGTACAACCGACCCCATGTGCTTAATAAGTAACAAACCTAACCTTATGTTGAACGTAGTGACGAATTGGAACAAAGGTCAGAGTCCAACACCAATAGCCAACAACAATTCATAACAACATAATAAAAGTGATAAAAGAGGTAACTCAGAGATATAATGCTCAACTCGTTCACGGTTCCGGAAAACAAGCATGATTTTTAAGTATTTCAGTGAAAACCCAAATCTTTTGCCGAAATCACCAAAATATGAGTAAGTTTGTAAAATTGTCATTTTTCCCAAAACTTTGAACGTGTAAATGTTTCATTTTCAAATGGCATGAGGAAAATATATCGCTATGCCTACTTGTCAATGTGTATGTGAAGTCATGAATGACGCAATAACGTACAATATGAGGAAAATGTATCTCTATACATGTATGTCAAGTGTGCATGTCGAATGCAATACAACTCAGTGATAACACCATATTCATGCTCTCAGAGTATCAATTTACTTAGTCCTCCCAGTCACTCAGTCCTCTCAATCCTCACAGCCACTCAGTCCTCACAATCAATCGACACTCGTTCTCGGCACTCGCACTCAGTAAGTACTTGCGCTCACTTTGGGTGTGTAGACTCCGGAGGGGCATATCCAGCCCAAGCACTATAATAAGCCAATCATGGCATGAAATTAATAATACTTGTTGCGGTGTGCAACTCAATCCCATCATGAATCAATAATACCTGTTGCGGCATGCAATCCGATCCCGTCAATATCCTCACAATCAGGCCCACGACCTCATTCAGTCAGTAATCTCTCTAGTCTCTCGGGCTCTCAATGTCATGAAAATCAGCCCAAAATGATGATGTGATGTATCAATAAATAGTAACGGAGACTGAGATATGATATGAAAATGAATGCGTATGACTGAGTATGTAATTGCAATGTGCGCAAATAGCTCAACAGCAGAAATGACCTCAGTGGGTCCCAACAGGATAAGCATATAGCCTAGACATGGTTTCTAATATGGATCACAACTTAATTACTCTAGCACGTAGAGATTTCATGGATACAAATAAGATTAGCTAACTACACAGTACCATAGAAATAACCGAGTCACAATCCACATGGTGTACGCCCACATGCCTGTCACCTAGCATCTGCGTCACCTCAACACCAAACACATATCACGTAAATTCAGGGGTTCATACCCTCGGCACCAAGTTTAGAAGTGTTACTTACCTCGAACAGGCCAAATCCAATACCGAGCAAGCCAAACGATACCCCAAAAATGCCATCTCATGCGTACCGACCTTCGAACGGATCTAAACTATCCAAAAGCAACTCAAATACATCAAATAAAGCCAAAAGAAACAAACCCATTCGATAAAGGTCGAATTCTTAATCAAAAGTCCAAAATCAACCAAAACATCAAATCTGGGCCCGCACCATGGAACCCAACAAAACTCACAAAATCCGATAACCCATTCAATTATGAGTCCAACCATACTAGTTTTATCCAAATCCGACTCCAAATCGATGCTCAAAACTTGAAAATTCACTTTATGAAACTTTAGACAAAACCCCTAATTTTCACTTTAAAATTCATAATCTATTTACTAAAAACGAAGATAGATTCACGAAATATAATCAAAACCGAGTATAGAATACTTACCCCAATCCTTATGATGAAAATCGCCTCCAAAATTGCCCAAATCCGATGTCTATAGCTCAATATATGATAAAAATGGACAACCCTCAATTTTATAGCTTCTGCCCAGGAAAATACGCATTTGCGAAACAATAGCCGCCTCTAAGGCATCGCTTTTGTGACCAAAATTCTGCTTCTGCGGAGAAGAACTGGAGAAATGGCCCTCGCACCTACGGAAAAACATCTACTCCTGCGATATCGCAGGAGCGACACTTGAACGCGCATCTGCGCAAACGTCCCCTTCTGCGCTCACGATCTCGCATCTGCGCGCACGCTGGTGTGCTACAAATTCATCTTCTGTGAAGGTATCCCAAATCAGCCTTCATTGTAGGTGCGACCATACTTCCTCTTCTGCTACCACCGCACCTGCGCAAAACCAGTCGCAGGTGCGATCACACCAGATCCTGCCACATACCAGCCTTAACCAAAATTTCCAAAATGATCTGAATCATGTCCGAACCTTACCCGAGCCTCTCGGGGCCCCGTCTGAATATACCAACAAGTGCCATATCATAGCACAAACTTAATCAAAGCCTCAAATCACACATAACAATATCGAAATGATGAATCGTAACTCGAATCAAACTCAATGAACTTTGAATCTTTCAACTTTCAAAACTCGTGCCGAAACATATCAAATCAATCTGGAATGAGCTCAAATTTTGCACACAAGTCCCAAATGACATAACGAACCTATTAAAATTTCCGAAACTACAATCCGAACCCAATATTATCAAATTCAACTCCCAGTCAAACTTATGAACTTTTCAAACCTTCAAATTTCCAACTTTCGCCAATTAGTGCCGAAACCCTCTAAAAATTTCCAAATACAAATCCGGGCATACGCCCATGTCTAAAATCACCATCCGGATCTAACGGAATCATCAAAACTCCGAATTGAGGTCAAATATTTAAAAGTCAAACTTGGCCAACTCTTCCAACTTAAAACATGAAATTCATTCTTCCAAATCAATTTCGAATAACCTGAAAATCAAAACCGACGATTCACACAAGTTATAATACATAATACATTCAAGATCAAGCATAAGAATTCCACAACATACAGGCCGCAAATGAATGGAGCTGTAGAAGCTGCCAACAAGAACATCAAGAAGATATTCAGGAAAATGGTAGATAATTACAAATAATGGCATGAAAGGCTAGCATTTGCTTTGCTTGGATATCGTACCACGGTTCGCACATCAACAGGGACAACTCCTTACCTGCTGGCCTATGGTAATGAAGCTGTTATTCCCGCTGAAGTGGAAATTCCTTCTTTGATAATCATAC